TAAAGAAAACTGAATGTTTAAACAAACACATATTGCTTAGAAAGATTATGTCAATAGATAGTTATTTATTAACAAGGTTTTTTTATGTTAAGTTTTTTTTACATACAGATGAAATATTAAGAGTTTACCTGTTTCTAAATATTGAAGTGGTGTGCAAATGAAGCAACGGGGTATACGAGCCATGCACTGCTCTCTACGTTTACACAGCGGAGGATTCTTGCATAGTTGATAAAATACATGCTTTAGCATTGTCATGCAGTACTGCATTCCCTAATCATTCTCAGTTTTGTACATTTACAAGTTTACAAAAGTACTCTGCAAATAAATACAGACAACAACTGCAGTGAGGAAAGCCAGGGAGGAAAAATGACTCCGGCTGAAATGGCGATTCGGTGTCTCTCAGTTTTACCCTGAATTTGAGGAGATGCACCGGTTCTTAAACAGGTCCGCATTTCTGTTCTCTGGAGGGTTCCGTTATGGTCTTTTGTGACCTTTTGATGCTTCAATAATCGATCGCACTACATTTTTTGGGTGTTAAATATGATCTAAAGTAGGATGAAATTAAAATGATCAAACAGTGATTGTAAAATAAACTCTAATGGTGTTAGACAGTTCTGGACTATCCCTTTGTTTCCCCTTTAAGACTCAGAGATCCAGAGCTACTTAAGATGCACAGAAAGTGCCACAGCGGGCAGCAGATTAGTAAAACACAGGTCTTTTGGAAATGATTCTTCTGTAGAATTAGCCATTAAAATCCTACATTACCTCTATGTGACTGTTATGTTTTATCAAGGGAAGGTCGACATAGTTGTGGTTAAAATATTAGTTGGAAATTAACTGAATGAGGTGCATCATTTAGTGTTCAATACGTTCAAAAACCAAAGCTTTAGTTAAGATGACAACACCTAAAATCATCTGTATTCACTGATTAAAAACAACGTATAGCACGACTCCGATTGTCAAAGAGCCACCACAAGCCTCTAATTTAAAAACTAAAGAGAAGTATTAAAAGTGAAGGAGCATCACATCCTATTGGAGTTTTTTGGCTATATGATCAGAGTAGAAAATATTTCTCTTAATTTATCAGGCATTTTGATGAATGGACAAACAAGCGTAATGGCATGAGACAAACCAACGCCTGCAACCCGAGTACAGACTTTAAAAAACAAGGCAAACGAGACAGCCGAACCCACATTTACATACAATTGTCCTGCTCTGATCCAAAGTGCCAGGCACATGTTCCTGATTGATTGACGTGTCAAACTGAGAAGAGCAAGGAACGCCACCGGATTTAAACATCCTGCATGTTGCTTCTATGACCTGTGCCAAAGATAGCTGTTAGTAAAGTGAAGTGTGCAAAAACAACAACAAACTAAATTAACCCTCATCTGGTAATCTACGCATTATGAGACACAAAGAGAACATAATTCAACCTTTATGTTTGCTGCTGAGCAAGAAGGATAAACAAGCTATTAAATCCAAGTGTGCAATTACTTTACCCGCCACCGCGACCAATGTTTAATATATGCATTCAGCAGCGTCTGAACATCCTGATCACACTGTGTCTACGCAGAGAACCAGGTGTACATTCTCTCTGCGTGGCCACTTTAGTGTCATCATAAGCTGCAGCGTTCAACTGTTAAATGAAAAAAAGACCCAACCCTACACTGTAATAACACAGTCCAGTTTAAATGAGGTGGCAGTTCGTTAAACCATTTTAAAACCACTGTAAACCTGAAAGTGACAGAAAAATGCCGTAGATCTATTATTAAAAGTATTCTGTTTGGTCTAAAAGTAAGAAGGATATTGTGACTCCATAATAACCACATTCATGCTTTAAAAACTCTGCTGGTATCTAACACAAGGGTATTGCGGCTAGAGGTGTGACAGCTCTACATTGAAACAGCTTATTGTTCTAAACAAGGCCAGCAAGCGTAGCGACGGGCGCAGCCCCCAGATTCTGCCTCGGTCTGCGCGTCCATCATTTTACTGTGGAGCACTTCAGCATAAAACCTCCACATCTGGACACGCTGGAGCTCTAATTCTGATCACATGGCTCGTAGATATTCCAATCCAGGCTGTGGAAGACTAATCAAATGGCGACTACTAATATCTCCTATGAGGTACCACAGGTTAGGATCAACACTGCGAACAGCTTTTCCAGCTCACTGGATCGTGTGGTCACAGTTCTGAGCCTCGCAACTCAAAACATCAGTGCCAGTGAAGCAGTGGCCTGTTACAGCACCGGGTGTATAAAAGGGGCGACTTCTTATTGAAAAATGACCCCTGAAACGTTGAGATGAAAGTACCCTTTTACCATTTTCAAGTCTAAGGCCTTTTGACTTTACTTAAGATATGTCTTGAGGTCGTTTAAATAATTATAGGATTATAATCGTCATACTGCTTTATCTATACAAAGTGCGAACGAAACAACATTCCTACCCAGTGATGCATACAGTAGAAGACTACTATGTTGCCAAAGGCAATTATTTGTTTCCATGTACAGCATTTGAAAGGCGCTTAAGATCATTTTCATCTCATAGAGGGAAGAAAAAAAAAGGTTACATACTATATACTTTCTGTCAATACCTGTACATATACACACCTTTATACACCTTGAATTTAAAGGGTTTCACTCAAAAAAACACCACGTTTGTCATGGTTGTCAGGTTTCTATCAAAAGTACTCATCAAAAAAATAAAGTTTCAAAATACTGGAAAACTTTCCTAAATCAATAAACGGAATAAAAGCAGTTCTTTCTTTCTTTCTCGTTTTGGTTGCAGCCTGCTCTCATCTGTGTTTACCTTAAGTATTCGCGGGAGAGATTAATTTATTTTGCTCCTCTGTATAAATCTTTGATGCTCTCAGGACTTGTAGTGTGAAATAACTCATGAGTATGTGCAATATTGATGTCTTTTCCTCCACAGTTTTTGATCCAAAGACAAGAAAAATAACACGCTCAAAGGGCCCTTAAAAGACAAGCGCCTGAGCGTCTGAGATACTCATCGGATTGAGTCTGGAAATAAACAAAAACAACATCAATCGTTTATCCGGTTATCTCAGAGTGGAACTCTTTAGCATTTTCTGTGGATACGTCGACTTGGTTTCAGTATCAGGGGCTCATTTTTAATGTTACGGTTCTGTTTACTTAGCTGTTTATTTCCAATTGCTTACAGACGAGCGGCGGGACGACCAGCCTCTTTCATCCAGTTTAACCTGAAGAAAAAGTGACTTTTAACGCATGACTGCTGTACATTAGCTCCATCTTTCCTGGGGCCTTCATTGTGAATGTTTTGCTGCAGCATTTTAAAATAAATCACATTTAAAGATTCCAGAGAGCAAAAGGTCTCTCTAAATTAGCACAACAAAATAGGTTGTGCTGCGCAACTAAAGCGATGCCGCCATGACTGTGAAGACCAGTTTCCCCATCCTTCCAAATCCCTCCTGACCGTCACAAATTGAAACGTGGAAAGAAAACACTTCCTAATGAAACCATATTAGCAGCATGCCAGGCACGTGCTCGCCCCTCAGGTGTGCAGTGCTCTTTACTTTATCTGAAACAGAGCTGATCTCAGGGCCAAACCACATTTCTGCACCCAGAGTGCAAAACCATAACACCAAAAGAAGTGTCTGAATTCCATCTGGTGCTCACTGAAACTCAGGCACAAAGAAATTAGCTGCATTTTGTCTGTTTTACATAGTGACTCCAGATGTATCACTGAGGCCTCTGAGTTGCTCGTGCAGGCGATTGCATGCTTGTCGACAGCTTTCGGGATGACGTCCCCCTCTCAAGGGGCTTCTTCCCATTTGTGGGAGCCTTACTACTTACATCTGAAGTGGAAGACTTGGACTTGCCTACATTTAGAAGAGTGCGACTGAGCGAGCTGGGGGGTTTGGAGGACTCCTTTGTCTCACCCCGGTGAGTTTCTGTCGATGCCTGCGAAGACACGGCATCTCCGGTTTTTCCATCCCCACCCCCAATCTCCTTGGCTTGCCCGTTCTGCTTGCATGTCCTTTCGGAGGCCTTTTTGGTGAGCACGGAGCTCTTTCCCAAGTCGGCCGACCGGCGGCTCTCCCTCTGCCGGAGGGCGCTCTTGAAGAAGGACAAGCCTTTCTCCTCCGACTTGCTGTTCCGCTGCAGGTCTTTGGTGGAAACGCTGGGCGAGCGCAGGCTGGTGACGGAGGAGCTGCTGCTGGAACTTCTCACAGACCTCCTCTCCGGCCTGTTGCTTTCTGAACTCTTGGAAAGCGACGAGCGGGACACAGAGCTGCCCCGGAGGCTGTCGACCAGAGGGCTTGTGTGCATAGAATCTTTGCTGCAGCTCCGCTCCACGAGTCGCCTCCGGCTGCTCGTGGTGGTTTTCTCGGCCACGCTGGGAGCCTTCTTGGCGGTTGGCGAGGGAGACGCCGAGGACTGAGGTGTGGAGCGGAGGCAAGGCTTATGCTGGGGGGTCGACTCCAGAGACTGACCGGAAGCCTTTGCTTTGGAGGGAGTTCCGCTGGGTGTGGAGGTGCTTTTCTTGGGGTTTACAACCTTCTCTTTTGTGATGCTCTGCTTTTTGCCTTTCACAGGTGTACCGGAAGAGACGGAGGCCGATGTCTTCAAGGTTGAGCATAAGCGTTTTTTGGAGGTCTTATCGTGCTCCCCTTTGCTAGAGCTCTTTGTGGAGCCTGTGCTTTCTGCCTTTAGGGAAAATCCTCCAATGCTGCTCTTTCGTTTCTG